TAGCTAAGGTCAGCACAGAGGGTGAAAATTAGTAGTCTGGGTTTTCCTTGAAAATGCCCTAGGAAGGCTCCTCAATGAAGTCCAACAGCATGTCAGCCCAATGCAGCTAGATTTTTCTGCCTTCCACACCAGATGAAGTCATTGGCATATTTGCAGGAGCCATAATTTTATTATTTTTAATGTTAGCTACAAACAGAATCATACTTGATTAGTAGTGAATCACACACCTTGAGAGAGACTTCTAGGAACTAGCTGGGGAAAGCAGATGTATCCTCTGTCACACTCTAAGAGATAGGTTCTTAGAGCAGACTCACCCAGACTAATCAATCCAGTACACACACATATTCTCTCTTGCTCTCTCTCAGCTAAATGTAGAACTTAGGTGAACTTGATGTGTCTAAGTGTTTGTAGTGCCACTCCAATTGTATCTTGTTAGAACACACACAGCATTTGGGGATGTGAAGTTGCTACAAAGTTAATGAAGGGGATGCAGCACCCAGAACTCTAGCCTCTCTAAAGGTGACTTGGCTTCACCAACAGAAGATGAAATGTATAAAGTAAAGGCCTTGTTGCTGTTTTCTTTGATTTAGGACAAATGATTTCACTCTTTCCTCCTTCACCAGCATTTCTGTGTGTGAAAAAGCTTGCATTGGCATTTTGGATGCCACAAGTTCTATTTTGAAAAAGAGAATAGAAAAGAACTCGTAGCAGTTTTCTATTGTAGCAGAACAAATTCTCACCAACTTAGCAGTTTAAAACAGCATGCATTTATTACCTCACAATTCTGATGAGATAATAAATATCAGAAGTAGATCAGAAGTCCAGATAGGACTCAACTGGGCTCTCTGCTCAGGTTCTCACAAGACTGAGCCAGAGGTCCTCGTCCAGGTCTCACCTGAGGCTAGAGGTTCTCTTCCAGGTTGGCGGCAGCATTCAGTTTCTTGCAGTTGTAGAACTCATAGCAACTTGCTGTCTTCAAGTTCAAGGCCAGCAGAAGAGTGTCTGTGTTGCATCTTGTTTCCTTTAAGGGCTCACCTAATAAGGTCAGGCCCACATAGGATAATCTCCTTTATGAAGAGGGCATTAGAAGGGCTTGTAAACCAGGAGGCATCTTGGATTTCTGCCTACTACATAAATAATATTGAGTACCTACTGGGTGCCAAACACTGTTTGATTAATTGCTACTATCCAAGTTTGACCTATAGGGAAACTAAAGCTCGGGGATGGAGTAATCTGTGTGACTAGTGAAGAGTGTGATCAGGCTGCTGGCCTGCAAAGCCCAGCTCTCTCCATTTTGCCAAGCTACCTCTGATAAATCCTGTCACTTCTCCCTCCTTTCCAACGTACTCGCTTTTCTCCAGCCTCACTGTCTTGGCTGTAGGCCGTCATCACCCATCCCTGCACTGCTGCAGCAGCCCTTGAGTGGTCTGTTCTCCACCACCCTAAAGTGCAACTTGACCGTGTCACTTCCTGCTTCAAATACTTGAATCACTTCTTTTGGTTGGAGTTCATACTCTAATACGCACTTACAAGGCATCAGTCTGTAGGCTCTGCTTGCAACTCTAACATCTCTCACCTCTGTCCGATGAGTGAACCCACACGCGGCTCCCTCTGTCTACAACACTCTTGACCGCTCCTCGTCTGGCTAATTCCACCTGGCTTTCAGGTCTGGATTAAATGTCACCTCATCCAGAGGCTTGCTTTGACTCCCAAATTAGGTGAGGTGTTCCTGTTACCTGTTCTGTAGCATCTGGTACTTCCTCTATAATATCATCGCATTTTGTTGTCACGACATATTTATGTCTGTGTGTGTGCTTCTTGGCTGTATTCCCAATGTCTGGCAAATAGTGGATACTCTAATAAATATTTATTCATAAGTGAATGGCAGAGTACTTTGATAGGTTACTTTTTTGTGTTACTATTGAAATCTTTCCTAAAGTCTCTGCTTTTCTTTGTCATTAAAATACTTTTAATATCACATATCAGAAGAGCTATCCACTTCTCATGTTTTATTCAGGATCAAATAATTAGTATAAGGTAAAGCTGGGAAAACATGGTGGGCCTTTAAACTCTAAATTTTATGTGTTTTTTACTATTTTGTGCTGCTGAACTGCCTTAGAATGCTAGTTCATCCTCTTAACTACCCACTTTACCCAGTACAGGTACTCAGTAAATGCTAACTTATTTTCCACCTAATTGAATAAATTCTTTTATAAGAGGTATAAGAGGAACCCTTTCTTCAGTGAGTGGATTTGGATCTAATATACTGGCCAGGAGTTGTGATTAATTTTGTCAAGTTTCTTCTACAGCTATAAGATAGCCTTGTGGAATAGGGAGCATTAAACCTTTCACACTATTATATCGTGTTTGAGAAACATTGTTAAAACTCCTTGTATGTTTAATAATATGACCAAATGAGCTATGAACTCTCTCAAGCACATATTCTTTCTATTGTTCTCAATATTTAGTAGTGCGATGTGGCTATGTATAGACTTCCACAAATTACTCTTTCATCACATACTCCAGTAAATGTCGGGCTTTTGGATAAGCTGTTTAAAAAGGTTAGTTTAAAATTTTTGAAGTTGAATTTGTAACAAACATGACACTTTTTTTTTTTTTTTAATCCTCACCCGAGGACACTTTTCCATTTTTTGTTCAGATAGAGTGGGAGGGAGAGAAAGGAAGAGAGAGAGAGAGAGAGAGAGAGAGAGAGAAACATCGACGTGAAAGGGACACATCGAGTGGCTGCCACCCGCACGACCAACCAGGGCCGGGGACAAACTGCAACTGAGGTACACGCCCTTAGCGGGAACCGAACCCGGGTCTCTCTGGACCGCAGGCCAACGCTCTAACCACTGAGCCAAACCGGCCAGGGCCATGCCACATTTTTTATATCCAAGGAAGTGCTATCTCATTGAAAGCACTTACTTTGAAAGTTATCGTGAATGTTTTCATTTCTCAAAATGGTTTGGGAGTTAAGAATGTTTCCATTTCAAATTAAAATGTTTTAATTTTTCGCCCTGGCCGGTTTAGCGCAGCGGTTAGAGCATCAGCCTGCAGTCCAGAGAGACTCGGGTTCAGTCCCACTAAGGGCACGTACCTCGGTTGCAGTTTGTCCCTGGCCCAGGTTGGGTTACGCAGGAGGCAGCCGATGTGTCCCTTTCACATTGATGTTTCTCTTCCTCCCTCCCTTTCTACCTTCCTCCCTCCCTCCCACTCTGTCTGAACAAAAAAAAAAGGAAAAATGTCCTCGGGTGAGGATAAATAAAAAAAAAAGTAAAATAAAATGTTTAAATTTTTGTATTGCAGTTGACATATAATTTAGCAGTAATATTATATTAGTACAACATAGTGATTAGACATTTATGTAATTTACAAAGTGACCCCCTGGATAAATCTAGGACCCATCTAATATCATACATAGTTATTACAGTATTATTGACTAGATTCCTTCTGCTGTACTTTACATCCTGTGACTGTTTTTATAACCAGCAATTTGAACTTTTTAATCCCTTCCCCTTTTTCATCTATTCTCCAATGCCCCTACCATTGGTCACCCTTCAAAAATCAGAATTCCGTTTGGAATTCAAGTCAGAGCCATCACACAAGCTTTTTTATTGTCATCAGTCTCCGCCAGTCTTTGGCCTTTGAGGGTAGTTATTTTATGAAAACAACATTAAGAACTAAGGTGAATGAAGTGTGCACTCAGGTTGAAAACAATATGCAACTCTGAAGTCAAGAGACAGGACTTTGTTGTTTGTAGGTTTGTTTTTGGTCATAAAATCTGACATGTAAGGCAAACAAAAGTTCCCAGTAACTTAAATCACCAAACATTCATGTCTTAATAACTGCAGGACCAGAAAGGACTGTCTTGGGAGGAGATGGGGGACTGATCAGCGTATTGTGATGCTTACAGATGAGATCTTAAAGGAAAGCCACCCTGAACACATCTCGGTTTATTAGATAAGGATTATAAAGGGATGCTCTTTTCTTTTTAAATAGTAACTTCTTCTGCAAGGAAGCAACATACTTTCTTTCTTTGGCTCATAATGTATAGCCCAGGCTACATAGGTTGTAGTCATTCTGGTGTTATCACTCAGCTTAGTTGTAGGATCGAAGCAAGTCACTATTTTCTGAGTTTCCTTTCTCTCATCCTCAAATAAAAGGTTTGAATAGTGCTATGTAATATATATTTTCATGTAGGAAAACTTAACTTTTTTTCTCTTGGTCTATGGATAGTTGTAAAATGGAACGCATAGCAATGTATAATATAATCTTTTGTTTTAAATATCCCTCATTAAACTGGCTGTTCTCAAAAATTATGCTTTGCTCTTGGAATTGTCAAAATACAGGGAAGAACAAACATGTTGTAAGTAGTGGAGAGTGGTTTGCAGGAACGAAAGAGGTTCATCTTACATTGACTACTGAAGAATCGTCTTCAGTTACTTATTTACCTCACCTCAAACCATAGAATGTGAACAACAAAATAATGCTAAACTACAAGTGACAGTAAAAGCAGGATCAGGGAAATTATAAGATTAGAAATCAAACACAGGAACAAAAAGAATATAGATTTGGCTCTTGGCTTTCAAAGTTTAAAGGGAAATTAATTATGTGGTTGTTATTTCAAAGATGAGACAAGTGACATCCCAGGAGAGAGGATTTTCTTAGCACTTATTTCTGGAAGAATACATAACACGGGATTGTGTACAGGAAAAATGAGGGCTTTACAAGTAGTGATCACGCAGCTACAAAAGTCTGAAACATATAAACATGAGTTAGCATGTGTTTCTTACCTTCGAAAAGCGAGACTGATAGTCATCTCTGAGTGAGAAGTGACGGAGTAAATGGATTATCCTGTCCAGAATGCTGGTTAGTCGTGTAGACACTTTCTTTGATGAAAAAGGGGGTATCGTTCCTATTTTGTGACCATAGGTTCAGGGTTACTCAAGTTGTGTTCTAATCAAGTCTTACCCTGTTCTGTTCTTATGTGGCACCAGCCAAAAAAGAAGAACATGTCAGCCTACCAGGTGTTCTGTAAAGAGTACCGTGTGACCATTGTGGCCGACCACCCCGGCATAGGTAAGAGCGTTTCTGACCCTTCGCCCTTTGACTTTCCATCCGTGCCTCTGACGCAGGGCAGCTATTTCAGTCCGGAGGCGGCGGCTTCCCGTAGTATTAAAGGAACCCAAGTCTCAGTTTTCTCCTCAGTTCTGCAGGTCACTTTAGATTTTTATCTTAGTTCACCCCAGCCGTAAAAGTGATAGCTTTTTGTTGATATCTCTTAAATTGAAAAAATGGAAACTAGTAAAATTAAATGTTATGAAGCTCAGTACATAAATATGCAGTTGCTTATTTCCAAGAGTCTGCAGTTGATTTTTCCTTAGACTGCCCTCAGGTGCGTAGTTGGGCGATGACTTACATCGTTCACCTCTGTGCTAGAGTGAGCGAGGTGAGGAAAACACTGCGCCGCGGACCTTGGACAAGGCACTCAATAATCCCATTTTCCCGAGAGGTAAATAGCTTCCCGAACTTCTCACCACGTTGTTGGGAGGCAGGGGTGAAGTCACGTCCCGACTGGGGCGTGCTGCCCGAAGCCTGACCTTGGTGCGATGGAAGGGCGGCCGCCCCGGACTCTCAGGACTGCGGGGCCCCTCTTCCCACTGCGTTCTCAGGGCTCCCGGAAAATCCCATCTTTTCTCAGATTCTGCACCACATATTGTCTTTACACTAAGTTGATAAGCCCTGTATTGTGGGATCAAATTAAAAGACACCAGAAAGGTGCTTAAGGAATGAATCCCTGGAGAGGGGATGCGTGAGGATTTGAGCCTACATCACCACCATCCAAACAGCCCCTGCCCTATAGAAAAGAAGACGACCAGTGGGGTTTGGGTTGAGCTGGTTTGGTTTTCTGAAAGAATCTTGTGCTGTTTAAATCTGATTCTCAGAATCTTTTTCCAGTTTTTGCTCTCATCAATCTTCTGCTTTGTCAATAGTTAAACCTTTATTTTATTGAGTTTTTTACTCTTTTATGCCAGATTTTGGGGAACTTAGTAAAAAGCTGGCTGAGGTGTGGAAGCAACTGCCAGAAAAGGACAAACTGGTAAGTACACTTTCTTACAAACACCTTTTTTATTGTTTTATGCCTTCCAATATGCGTGCTTCTCCTATAGACCACCCAGCCAACAATGACAAGTTAATGGAAAATGGTTTTGTAAAGGGCATTAACACTAGCTGGTGCCAGCCTCTTCTCATTTTTTCCAGTAGCCTTATATTTGAGCCAAAAGATGGCCTAACTTGGGCAGTGATTAGAGTGTTAAAAGAAAAAGTCCCTTTTTCTACTAGTCAGCCATGGTCTGAGAAGTGAGACAAGTCATCCACTTAATAGTCACTAAATAAGAAAACCAGGATACTGTGATTACTAGGGAACCAGGTTCCAGGCCATCATCCTCATCAGCCACTACCAAATAGTGTCCCCTGCTGTGAAGAAGCTGGTAAGACCGTGATAACTAGTCATGTGTGAGTCATAGGCACTTTCCAGTGGGATGGCACAATGGTGGTCTGGGAACTGGACTTACCATCTTGCTCTAAGGCAGTGGTTCTCAACCTTCCTAATGCCACAACCCTTAGTACAGTTCCTCATGTTGTGGTGACCCCCAACCATAAAATTATTTTTGTTGCCACTTCATAATTGTAATTTTACTGTTGTTATGAATCGCCATCGGAAATATGTGTTTTCTGATGGTCTTAGGCGACCCCTGTGAATGGGTCATTCGATCCCCAAAGTGGTCGCAACCCACAGGTTGAGAACTGTTGTTCTAAGGTATAGCTCATCTGGGTAAAACAACTAAAATATTTTTCACCCAGGTAGCTTATTTTTAGTTTCTGTTTTACATGTCACTGTTACCCTGCTGTTGGTATTGCCAACCAGCAGGTTAGAAAAAATATTTAAATCACATGGACATTATACTGAGCCAGATGTTAGTTTACTCCAGGATTTACATTTTGATCTTAGAGAAATCTAAAATCAGTGCTGACGTCTGACCATTCGCGTTGAGGACTGTTGTAGTCCTCTACCAAGACCTGACGCCATCGCTGTCTGAAGCCTGCTCAGTGCCCCTGGGCCTGAAAGTTAGCATTGACTTCTTTTCTTCATTGACTGCTTAACCTTTCACTTTCTTTTCCTTTTTAATTGATTTTATTTTGCCTCAATCTGATGCAGATTTGGAAGCAAAAAGCTCAGTATTTGCAACACAAACAGAACAAAGCAGAAGCTACAACGGTGAAAAGAAAAGCATCCAGCTCAGAAGGCTCCATGAAAGTAAAAGGTAGTGGCCACATCCCTCTGCAGCTTTGCTTTTCCCTAGAGCTCTGTGAATTCTGCCTAACTGAGAAGTTAAGAGAACAGCCTGTATTGGAAGCAGATCTTGATACCCCGGTCTGTTACAGAGCATGATAGGTTGAAAGGGGCATTTAGAAAATATAAATCAGAAGTCAGCACTTTTTCAGTAAAAGAGTGAGAATGAGTATTTCAGGCCTTTCAAGCCATGTGCTTTTTCTGTCACATATTCTTTGTTTCTTCTAAACCATTTAAAAATGTAAAATTATTCTGACCTTACAAAAATAGGTCATGAGCCAGATATGGCCCACAGTCCATAGTTTTGCCAATGCCTGGCATAGCTCATAAATGGAAAATCAGGAAGGACATTTTTGTGGTGTTCAAGGCCATAGATAGTTTGGTCTCTCTATTTCGTCTCTGTTCTCAGCTTGCTCGGTAGGGGTGCTGTCACCCCAAAAGAAGTCCCCGCCCACCACCATGTTATTACCTGCCTCACCGGCCAAAGCCCCTGAGACAGAGCCCATTGATGTTGCTGCTCATCTGCAGTTGTTGGGAGAGTCCCTCAGCCTCATCGGACACCGCCTGCAGGAAACAGAGGTGAGCACAGCTGTCTGCAGCACGACTCCAGTGTCTGACATCATTTGAATCCATTCACTCATTCCACAGACATGCATTGAGCAGCTACTCTATGCTAGATTAGGCAGGTGTTTAGGATGCAGTGATACAGAAGACATGGTAATAGAAACACCTAGAGATTTGGAATCAAAGTTTACACCAATAACACCCTATTGAAACAACAGCACAAAAAGAAATTAGAATACCCAGTAACTTTTTGCCCAGCTTTATTAAGATATAATTGACATATAACCCTGTAATTTGTTATTTTTTTAAATGCACTGAGAAAACTGAGTACACATCCCATGGAAGTTTTGATCACTTGTACTTCTAAGACAGTTTGAGTTTTTCTGCACATTTCCAGCAAAGTCTTCAGCAGACAGATTAGATTGTGTAGAGGATTAAGAGTTCCTCTACTTTTTTTTTTAGTCCTCACCTGAGGATATTTTTCCATTGATTTCTAGATAGAGTGGAAGGGAAAGAGGAACAGAGAAACACCGATGTGGTGTTGATTGGTTGCCTCCTGCACCACGTTGATTGGTTGCCTCCTGCACCACCCCAACTGGGGCCAGGGATTGAACCTGCAACCCAGGTATGTGCCCCTGACTGGGAATCGAATCCACGACACTTCAGTGTGCAGACTGACACTCTAACCTCTAAGTCAAACCAGCCAGGGCAGGAAATCCTCTACTTTTTTGAAAATAGATAGCAAATAGGGAAATTGAGGTTCTGAAGCTCTTCATTACTCTGCGCTGGACTTGAATTATACATGCAGTGTGCCCTAGAGAGATCTTTGTACTTTTCAGCTTCTAAATCACTTAACCTGCAAAGCTGTCATGTTCCATTTCTATTACCATATTCAATTTCTAATTGTATTGCCCCCTTGGCTAACTCAGTTGCATAGTGTTTCATTTTTCCACTGGGTTCTAATAGGACATTTCAGCAAAGAACTCAGTCTCAGCCCTGGCTCAGTGTGGCTCGGTTGGGTGTCGTCCCATGCACCAAAAGGTTGCTGGTTCAATTCCCCATCAGGGCACATGCCTGAGTTATGGGCTTGATCTCCAAGTAGAGGGTGTGCAGGAGGCAGCTGATCAATGTTGTGCTCTCATCTCTTTCTCTCGCCCTCTCCCTTTCTCTTTCTCTTTAAAAATCAATAAAAATATTGGGGGGATAGAAATCAGTCTCAGCTGCCCTGGCCAGTTTGGCTCAGCGGTTGGGGTGTTGGTCCAGAGAGACCCGGGTTCAGTTCCTGCTAGAGGCGCGTACCTCAGTTGCGGTTTGTCCCCAGCCCTGGTTGGGTTGAGCAGGTGGCAGCCACTTGATGTGTCCCTTTCACGCCTGTCTCTCTCTCCCTCCCTCCCACTCTATCTAAACAAAATATGGAAAAATGTCCTCGCCTGAGGATAAAAAAAAAAGAAATCCGTCTCAGCTAGTAAAGCCATTTTAAGCTGAAAAATTATGGTAGGAATATAAAACCATTCATTTGCTTCTCTGTGGAAGTTGAATTATTATTCAGTAAATAAGATGCCAATGGCCAGAGACGAAGTTATATCTAAATTCTTTGACTAGTTTAAAAAATTTAGCAGTTATCACAGTTGTCTAGTCTAGATACATCAAAACCACTGGAGCACTTTATGTGGGCTGATGTTTGAATGGATATAGATATTTCCAGAATAAAATATTCTGAAATCCTTGGTTATTTTTTTATATTTAGACATTGTTATGTTTCCTAAAAAGTTAGAATTTAAATGATTTGTTTTATGCACTATCCATATTCCAGATTTTTCCTCATATTTCTATTTGTTGAGTATAAGACATTATTCCAAAACATTGGAGGTTGAGAAAATCTGAATAGCTTCCTTATTATTTCCTGTCATCAGAAAACTTACAGTCTAATTGGAGAGAGAGAATAGATACATAATTAGCAAATTACAAGAAGCCTGCTTCTGTGAGCAGTTGCTATGAGTTACATTTGCAGAGTGACCAAAAAGGAAAAGAATTTTGCAGAATCTCTAGTCTGCTGTTTTTATATAAGTCTTACTGAGATGTAATTCACATACCATAAAGTCTCCTCTTTTAAAATATAGAATGTAATGGGTTTTAGTATATTCACAGAATTATTGACCCATTTCTACTATCTAATTCAAGAACATCGTCATAATCCTCAAAAGAAACCCATACCCATTAGCAGTCTTTCCCATTTCCCCCTCTACTCCACTTTTTCCAAGACTTTAACATTTGCATATATCCTTGCAATTTCCATGTACCACTTATACTGTTATTTACTTGATAGTTTTATTTAAATAAGTCTGTCCATGCTTTCACAATGATATCCTCAATTTCATGTGTGTGATATTCCTTTTTCCTGATATACATCAAAATGGATGTCTATCAGAGTAATTAATGTTCACCTGTGTGCCACCTGAAATTACGTACTGCACTTTAAGGAACACTGATTTTATATAATTTTCTCATTTAAAGATTGAATACCTGGCCTAGCCGGTGTGGCTGAGGTCCTGCTTCAATTCCTGGTCAGGGCACATGCCCAGTTTGCAGGCTTGATTCCAGTAGGGGGCGCCCAGGAGGCAGCCAATCAATGTTTCTCTTTCACATCAGTGTTTCTCTCTCTCTCTCCCTTCCCCTCTCTCTAAAAAGTCAATCAAAACATATATTTTAAAAAGAAGCAGCAGTGACTAGTACAAGTTTACACGACGATTCGTGACAGAGCCCAGCTGTCTCACTTCAGACCTATCCTCCTTCCATTGCCCTGTGCCAGCAGAGGCAGAGTAGTGGTCAGGAACAGAGAGAGCACCCGGCCGGTGTGGCTCAGTGGCTGAGCGTCGACCCTTGCACCGAGAGGTTGCTGGTTCAATTCCTGGTCAAGGCACATGCCTAGGTTGTGGGCCCGATCCCCAGTGCGGGGGCTAGGAGGCAGCCAATCAGTGTTTTTTCTTATCGATGTTTCTATCTCTCTCCCCCTCTCCCTCTAAAATCAATAAAGAAAATAATGTCTTTTTAATAATAATAAATAAAATCCATTTAAAGAAAAGAACAGCGAGAGTCAGGGGAGTCAGGCTGTGAGAGGGAGGTGCTGTGCACCTGGAGCTGGAAGGATAGGTAAGCAGTGGTTTGTCTCATGGAGATGTTGGAGAGAGACAGCAAGCAGGAAAACCAAGTACCTCAGTTCTCAACCTCGGGGACTTCTGTAGAAACAGGTCAAAGGAAGCCCAGTAAGAACCCACTCCCACTTTAACCAGATCTTTTAGCTCTTTTGTATATTGGGGTCCACTTAAGGTCTTATTTGAAAAAGGGTTTTACAGCTAAAATAGTGAAAAACTGGAACATCCAATGTATAAGGTGGAAGAAGACTGAACAGTAAGGCTACAGCCCGGATTACAGAGGGTCCTCCGGGGCCCCCTGGCGTGTCTGTGTCTGGTCGTTCGAGCTGCGGGCAGTTGTGTGGGAAGGGATGTGATCAGAGCTCTCGTTTGGCTTTCTCTGAGCATAGCTTCTATTTAGTGAGTGAAGAGAGACCAGAACTGGGGAGAAGTTGTAACAATAGTTTGGTTTAGAGATGACAAAGATTTGAATTAATCTGGTCAGTGTATATGGGTACCACCACTAGTTATTGGGAGGCTGTAAAAAGAAATAGGACATGATTCCTGCCCTCAAATTGCTTATAATCCATTAGGAGAGTCAAACATAAAGATGAGCTGTAATTAACTGTAAGGCAAAAGTAATGGAATAACATTACTAATTCGCTAATATTCTTTGAATGGTTACTGAGCCAGCTTTGGTTCTGAGTGCTTTATAAGGATTCTATTGTTTAATTCACACTGCAGCTTCGTGAGGCAGAATTTTTGTTCCTCCAATTTTACAGAAGAAAAACCCAGACTTAGAGGATAATTAACTAGCTCTGAAGTTCAGTTTCTAGGTGCTGAAATGGAGGCTTGAATTCGGCGGCTCAAGGTCCATGCTCTTGACCCCTTCCCGCACTGCCTCCTGTGAAGTGGGAGAGGAGACATTAGACAGGGAGGGTGAGGGGACGGGAAAGTCAGTGATGGCGAGGCCTTGACACTAAGCGGCTGTGTGAATGCTGGTGACTTCAGTGGGAAGGGGTGCTAGGAGGAGGGGTCGGTTATTTCTCATTATAGCACGTTGAGGTTGAGCAATACCAAAATGAGAGACCTAACAGGTAGCCAGAAATGCAGTTTTGGAGATTAAGATGTTGGTAACAGTAATAATTACTGATACTTTTGAGCACGTACCATGTACCAGGCTCCATGCCAAGTACTTCCTGTCTGTTCTCTCACTAATCCCCTGTGCTACAGACGCTGTTAGTGGTCTGTTTTACAGGCACAGCCCAGGGAGCAGCCTGCCCCAGCACAGACACGGAGTGGACTAGCCAGCTCCTGGCCCCAGCAGGCGTGACCCAGAGCTCTGTCTCTGAAGGACTCTGCTCGGCGGCTCGAGGTGGTGTGGCCTCAGCACTTCCAGTTGAAGCGGACTGGACAAGAGCTGGGCAGCGGTATTTGCAGTCAGCAATCTTATTTCTTTTTTCTTTTTTTTTTTTTTTTGGACGTGCCCCTAGCGGGAACCAAACCCGGGACTCTCTAGTCCACAGACCAACAGTCCAACCGCTGAGCCAAACCGGCCAGGGCTTTTTTCTTTTTTTTTTTTTAGCAATCTTATTTCTTATCTCGGGATCACAGAGATATAGACAATATGAATTGTATAAGATGTTAAAATTTGGAAGGAACCATACTTTCTTCTTTTTGAGAGTGAACAAAGCAATCCAGAAAAGTGCATGTTTATATTAAATATTAACGTGTAGGGCTGTAGAATTCTCACAGTTGTTGCATGAGCTGTATTTGTGGCCTTCATAAAAAAATGATCTCCACAAATCTTCCCAGCAGCTCTCCAGAGTAGGGAAGGCATTTTTACTATTCCTAAGTATAGGCACTTTTTTCTTTCTATTTGTGACTAACCCAAGGTCGCATAGAGGGTAAAATGGGCAAGGAATATAGCAAAGAAATCTAGGACTGTGTTGTAAAAGTTTTCTTTTAAACAACTTACAGAGTTATCAAAGCAGATACCTTCCATTTCTGCTGCAAGTTTCCTAGAACTGCCTAAGACTTACAGAATGTGAGGAAGTCCACCACATCATGGAGGGAGCGTCTGGAGTGTGACTCCAGTTTCAACCGACCCCCTTTCATGCTCTCCTTTCAGGGCATGGTGGCTGTGTCCGGCAGCTTGTCAGTGCTTCTGGATTCCATCATCTGTGCGCTCGGCCCCTTGGCATGTCTGACCACACAACTACCTGAACTGAATGGCTGTCCCAAACAGGTCTTGGTGAGTTTTCCTTGTTTTCCTTGGAGTTTGGGAGCCAGAACCCTTGCGAGCCAGAGAGGCCGTCTTAAAGATCTCTGTCAGGCACAAGCTCATAAGGCTGCCTGGCATTTAGCATGTAGGATCCCTTCATGTATTGGCCCAAGAACATGCCATCAGTGAAACAAAACATGCCATCCCCTGAAATAGTCCTGTGGAGGGAAGCATTCGAGCCCTGGAGGCACCGTGACGCCTGTGTCTCCTGTTTGTCCTACATGCTAAGCAAGTGCAGGAGTCCTCTGCCTCTTTTTTCCTGGGATCAGTGGGAGAAGTCAGCAGAAAATCTTCTAGCATAACAGACAACAAGATGTCATTTTCATTCCCCCTGTTTTCTTAAATTCTGGTTTTTCTTTCTCATCTCTCTCCCCTAAACAAAGAAGTATGTGTCAAGGAACTAAGGTCTAGTACTCTTTAGTTGAACCTTTTCCCCTTGTTTTGCAGTCAAATACACTAGACAACATTGCTTACATCATGCCTGGACTGTGACAGCAGAGAATCCTGGGACAGAAACCTTATCCTACCCCGTTGCTGGTTTGTGTATATATGACCGTTCCAGATCCCTTCACTGGCCACTGGGTGTAGGTTTTAAATTTTTATATACATATACATAAAGTATATATATATATACATATATATATAATGTACAATATATAGATAGGGCTGTAACTACTTCGCTTTTAATAATTTTATGAAATGGCAAAGGTTTAGCCAAGAGGAAACCTTGGCATGAATATGGGCTTGGTATTCTTTTTTCTCCTGTGGTGGACAAATCTGCCTTAAAAATCAATGAAACCTGGGGGCTGGGGGCTTGTTCTGGGTGCCAAGTGCATCTCTTTATGGACAGCTAAAATGTGATTTTTTTCCCCAAGCTCAGTTGTACCTCCAGACCCATCACTGACCATTTGCCTTACCTGTCTCACAGTCCGAAGTGTAACAGGACAGATTATGGGAAGATGCCAGTTGGCTGAAAGTGCAAAAAGCCTTTCACCTTGAAGTGTCTTAGGTGGGAGGTGATCTAATCGTTCCCATCTGACAGTTCCTGCGGTGGCGTAGGTGAGCCTAGTAGGGAGTTCATTCCAGTTCCTGCTATACAGGTGTCCACGTCTCAGAATGTGTCGTAATCATTGGCAGCCTCAGCAAGGGCCGAGGAGTTTTGTGAGTCCCGGCAGCATGAACACCTTGAGAAGGGTCCAGCTGTCAGTGCCACCAGGTGAACCGCGTACATTGTGAGCTGATCCAGAATCTCTGGCCTGCAGAACGAAGAGCTGGCATCTTCCATTGGCTCAGCCCCAAGTCCTCCCAGGTTCTGCTTAGTTGCTTGGTGGCTGTAAAGATGAACTGTGCCCCGTGGGATTTTTGGGTTCATCTTATTGGCTCCCCTGGTGGGCAAATACAGTGTTCTGCATTCCACACATAAGTGAATTGCAAAAAAGTAACTGATTCTCATGTAGGTTTATTTATGTGCGCGTGTGAATATGTTTTAATTATGTGTATTTAACTCTTTAAAATCTCTTAGATTTTAATTTATCCTGTAAATTTCTGTATATATAATTTAATAACAAAAGCCTCCACCAGCAACAGCATGTGGAAGTTACAGATTTGTTATTTCTCCCTCCCTTCCTTCCTCTGACCTCCTCTGAAAACTCGAAATCATCTACATTTTAAGGTATTGTGCCTCACAAAGGAATCATTATGTCAGGATTCTAATTCTTTATAGTTCAATAATGTCAAGAAAGTAAATAAAAAGGAATGTTTCCATTCCCAGCTGCCCTTATTTCCAAAGAACCAGACTGTTGTTTCCTAGTTCCAAAGAAGACAGTTGAGCACTTCAGGGTTGTTTTTAAACGTGTGCGATCCCTGCCCAACGCCAGCTCTGAGGTACCTGCCTTCTTCCCAGGCTAGATGGAGCTCCCGGCGTCCAAGTGGAGGCTGAGGACAGTGCAGCCAGCGAGTCCTGTTTAATGCCTTCCCTTCTCCCACCAGTGTGGTCACGGGGCTGTTTCTTAGAAGGTATTCTGGCTGCTGAATGCCTTTCTCAGCTCGGAGCAGTTTTGAGATGTAATTGGGGAAGCAGAAGGAAACGGGAATAGTTGGGAACCAAAATCAAGAACAGAAATCTTGTTTTGATTTTGTGTGTTAGAACCTGTACCATGCCTCATCTGTACCCATGCAAGTTTCCTGTTTGACACAGGGTATCAAGGAGGGAGGGGTCTTGAAGACACGGCTTAGTACCGAAAGGAGTCAGTCCTACCATTGTCATGTGTACACATTAATGAAATCCTGATGAGGACCTGCTTTTTGTTTGTTTTCCTTTCAAATCCAGTCCTGTTGTATTTGTATTTAAAATTTGTACACATTTGTATAATAACCTGTACCTGTGGTATTTGGTACTATTAGAGGGAAAACTTTGGATTCAGACCTTCTTGCAGTTTTTATATCATTGTTTTATTTTGTTTTTAAAATAAATCCTAGTGGTTTGATCCAAATTCTATTACAGTTGTATAAAGAAATAAAAATTTTGTACTTATATTATTAAAAATCACATTTTTAATATTTATAGTACAGTCTCAGCTATCTTTTCCCTGCTGCCAACCAAAGTTGCTCTGAAATTATTAAATCTGTTTTTCACACTATATCCTACCATAATTTTCTTTAAAAAAAAAATCCATCTGGAATAAAGGTCAAGTTTCTGATTTTAGCCATTTTTCTATCATACATCTTTACTCTGTTTCTGTTAACTTTTACATTGTGGAGTCTCACATTCTCTTGTTTGCAAATTACAAACCCAATTACTGATAAGTGTAGCTCTGCTCATTGACAAATAAAATTGTATGTACATTATTGTGTAACCCTAACTCAAGAAAACATCAGCCTTGTGTAAGGTTCACATCTGAGTCATGTGTTTAAATATATCTCATGCTGTTTCAGTACTGTCCTAACTCAGTGATACTGAATAAGTCACTTAGTCTTTATAGGCATCAAAGTCCCATCCGTAAAACAGTGTTAATGTCACTTCCCTGTCTGTAAGCCAGCAGCCAACCAGCCTGACATGAATGTTTAGTAATGTTGTGAACAATTAATATATGGAGATTTGACCTTTCAAGGTGTAAAAATTTCAATGCAAACACAAGGCGTTAATAGTCATAAATAGTGAAATACTATGATTGAAAGGCTAACTTCTTATGGAGAGGCAGCAAGAAAGAAATCATCATATTGCTGAATGACTATTATAGACAGTAATTTTCCTATTTTATCTAACTTAACCCTCCCAAAAGCCTTATTCCCCTTTACAAATGAGGAAGGCAAATGCAGAAAAGTACTTTTCCTGAGGTTATACAGCTAGTAGATAGATGGCAAAGCCAGAATAAGCACACTGGTACAGCCAACCCCAAAGCCTCGCTCTCTGCCATCCCAAAGCCACTTTCAAAGTCAGACTGTGTGTGTGACTCATCAGAATCCTTCTACACTATTATTTACAGTATTGTGCAAATGTAGGAACACCTCTGAGACCTTTTCATTGTTCAAATGTCCTTTTGTCCTAGCTGAATTTTATGATACCTCATTTTTCTTGTCATACTATTGCCTTTAAACTTTGTAGGCAAAGTATCTTGATTTTTGTCTAACAGTACTTAAAGGATATAATAGATTACATTACATTTATGCAATATGTCAATCTTCAGGGACCTAAACATTTTTACCTTCAGAAAGGCATTTGATGTTAATAGTGCTAAAACATGTAAAAGGAAAAATTAAAACAGACTTTTTAATAAAAGTTTGTTTTCTGTTAGCAAACATTTAAAACCGTTTTAATCAGTTTTGTACTACACTTAATATTTGCCGCTTATATTCCTATCTGTTGGGTTGACAAAATCCATACACTTCCATTTCTCATTGAAAAGCTATGTAGTATTCTGTTTACATGGAGTTAATATGATTTCACTCCCTGTTTGGGGGGGTACATGGTTTTTCTGCTCTTTTACTATGAAGGATACACCTTATGGCTGTTTTGTTCTTGGCAGCAAAGCCAAGATCTTCTGCCCATAATCACTTTAAACCAGAGTGATGCAGGAAGGCAAGAACTTCAGATAAGTCATCCCACACAAACTAGTGGAAGAATCCAAAGGAAGCTCATGCTAAATAGACCCCACACAACCAAGCAGTATTCTTAAATGAAGAAAAATATGGATGGTACCTGACATGAAGTTCATCTAATGTGCATTCTCCCCTTGTCCAAAAACCACTATTGAAAAGTAGATTGATTTAAATTTTCATGTGTGCTGGACAACAGTGGTGAGCAAACTAGACAGTATTCCAGCCCTCGTGGAGCATCTAGACTAGTAGGGGGAAGGACATATAAGTCTCACGTGCATTGTTAAAACACTTCAAAGCACAGTCATAACTTCCATAAAGTTTTTATATTGTACAGTAGCGATGTCAGCTCTTAAACAGGTTAACACAGAAGTGATTAAGTTCACATTAGGTTTTCCATCATCCTAAATTTGTGCGATTTACTATCCTTTCAAATTTAAGAATCACACACAAACAATTTGATCAATAAATTACTAAAGCCCCAAACTACCAAAGCAGTGGTTACTGTATCCTGGAGTCTTTAGAAGAAAAAAACATAACCAATAGACCAGATATCAAATGCAGATGACATATTTGAAACCTGGCCCAGACTGGCCCTGGCTGGTTTGGCTCAGCGGTTAGAGCATCGGCCCACCATCCAATAAGTCATGGGTTCGATTCTGGTCAAGGGCACGTACCTCAGTTGTGGTTCCATCCGGCCCTGGTCGGGTCTTGCAGGAGGCATCCAGTAGATGTGTCTCTCACATTGATGTTTCTCTCCCCCCGCCCCCACCTCCCACTATCTGAAGATAAATAGGAAAATATCCACAGTAAGGATTTTTTAAAAAATGGTCCAGACTGGAAGCCTGAAGAAGATATAACTACAAAGCTGGGAAAGGCCTTTGAGAGTCAATTCTTAACTTGGGGTCAACAGCTGTACTTCAGGGACCCCAGAAACTCCCTGAAGTTATATTAGAATTCTGCCTTTTCTCTTCAGAAAGGCTCGTGGCTTCAAATTCTCAAAGGCACCTATGACCTAAAAAAAGAAGTCGATTGTCCTTGAACTAATTCCAGCATCCAGAGAAAATGGGAAGCCGTTTGAATCACACAATAAATTAATGGGACCCAGGCACCACTCGCGACACCTGTGTGCTTTCTGCTATCCTGAGCTCTAGCCTGTTCCAAGCCGAATTCACTGAGTTGGCTCTCTGTCAAGCGAGTTCAAACTCCTGGCTCTTCTTGTCTCCTACTTGAGAAAAGTGAATCTGGGCTGCAAGCAGGACTCAACTTGCAGCTGGGAGACCTCGACCTCAAATAGGAAGAGTCCTGTTAGGGCAGGGAGACAACAGGCCACAGAGGATGTCTACGCCCGCGGTGGGGATGTAGTCACAGCGAGGTCCCAGGGGCTGAGACAGTTGAAAGAGCGCTGTAGTCTGAGCATGCTCTGTAACCTTACCCAGTCACTTCTCCGGTCTGAGGCCGGGTTTCCCAGGTGTGTTAGGAGAACGTCAGGCCACGCCCCTAAGCCAGTAAATAGCCGGAGGGCGTGGCTTAGAGAGTCCCACGCCCCCGGGTCCCCTACCGCCCGACGTCGTGCGTGACGTCCGTCGAGGGCCAGTAAGCCTCAGTGAGGTCACTGCCCTCCCCCTCCGAGTGCCGACCCTCCTCGTCGGGGGCGGGGCCTGTGGTCAAGTTCCAGACTCCCTCCGCACCGCCCCCACTGGCGCCTCCTCGCGGACCATCCGGCGTGTCACGTGACGGGTCGGCGGCGCTGGCGGTTGCTGTCAGCTGATATCACGGGTTGGTGGAAGCGGCAGCCGTGGCAATGGACTTTCTCCTGGGGAACCCGTTCAGCTCTCCGGTGGGACAGCGCATCGGTGAGTCCCCGAAGCCTCGCCCAGCCCTGTCGCAGGGCTCCGCGCCCGGCCTTAGCCCCCTCGGGGCGCCCGAGGTCCCCAGCCACACACCGGCGGGAGGCAGGGAGGGGAACGAGGCTGGCGCGTCTCTCGCGGATTTGGCCCCGCCCAGCCTCCCGCCCACCTTGATTGACAAAAACCGTGGTCCATTAGGGAGCCTCGGCTTGTGATGGATGCTTACGGCAGCCAATAAGTAAAGATAGAGGGAGAGTCCGCTGTCGGCTCAGCCAATGTGCGGCTGCTGGGGTCGCGAATCCAGGGAGAAAGTTTGGAGGGTTAAAGGGACTACGTGGATTCTCAGTGGTTGAGTTCCTCTGCGTTTTCGTGCTCCGCTTCCCAGCCCGGGTCGCGCCGCCTGGGCTCTGTCGTCGCTTTCCTGGTTCGGCGGGCTCTCCAGACACAGATACCTGAGAAGGGCTAGAAGTCCATTCTCCCAGGCAGCCCTGCCTCCCCCGGGCCCGGGCCCCCGCCGGACGAGGCGGCCAGCCCCGGAGGTCGCAGGACGTACCTGCCTTGGCGCCCTCGCCCACCAGCATCAGCTCGGCGCATGGAGTCGCCGCTGTGAGCGGGAGCGATCTTAGAAAGCCCTGGCCTGGCCTCCCTGTTCCTCGGTGAGGGGGACACCGGCCTGCTCGGAGCCCAGCTCTCCTGCCCCTCTTAACTCCCTGTTGACGAGACTGACCAGGTCTGCGACGTGACCTCCCCGGGCGAGGTTTCCACGGCTGTAATTAGGGGATAATGATGGCCCCTGTCTCCGTGGGGTGGTTGGGGAGATTGAACTCGTTAATAAACGTAAAGCGCTTGGAACGGTGCCTGGCACGTTGCCGATGCTGTATAAAAGAAAGAGGCCATATTTATTATCACTGTTACCAAGATACCACCAAGTGAGGCTCGGGAGCCCCTGGAAATGGCTGGACAGTGGGTCTCACACCGTGGGGAGGGGGGCCCAGGCCAGGCCCCCAGCGACGCTTGCCCAACACGGCCTGGCTGTACCTCCTTGCATGAGGAAGCCGCAGGCAGTTCGTGAAATTCTCTCTTCATCTTTTTGATGGTTTTTAGCCTGAAATCCAGGCTGGGAAAATTCTGCCTTTGCGATGAGACATTCTTTCCATTCTTACTGTCTTGGAAGCCAAACCTAACTTAAGGAGCTCTGTATTGTGATGGCCACTGGGGCTGTTAGTGGCTCCTCCCAGGTTTTGTAATCGCATCCTCCAGGAGGGAGAGGCAGTAGAGAATTTATACATCAGGAAGTCCTGGACCAGAGAGGGGTACCAGCCCTCTGAGGACCACCACCCCACTTCCCACACAACTCACACACCCAGTGAGTCATTGTCTGGGAGCTGAAAGGAGAAGGCAGCTCTCTTTCATCTGTATTTCTCCAGCTACAGATATGACTGCTTTCATCACATGCCAGGTGGTGTGAGGCTTACTACTTTAAAAAATCTGTCCAAGTCAGCCTCATTGTTCCTGAGGCTTTCTAGAAAAGCTCACCTCGACTCTGGACCTTAGATGGTCCAAGAAAACAGCTTCTCCTCTTACCCTGAAGGGTTGCCTGCCTCCAGCATGAAATATTCTGTGCAAAGAATGCTGCTAAAACTAATACCTTCGAGCACTAACCAAGTTTTGCTGCTGGAAGGTCCTTACCCTGGGACTCTTTTTTTTTTATCCTCACCGAGGACATTTTTTGATATTTTGTTCAGATAGAGTGGGAGGGAGAGAGAGAGAAACATGGATGTGAAAGGGACACACCGAGTGGTCGCCACCCGCGGGAACCGAACCCGGGTCTCTCCAGACCGCAGGCTGATGCTCTAACCGCTGAGCCAAACAGGCCAGGGCACCCTGGGGCTCTTCTAACCCAGGGCTCTAGTCTAAAGCCTTTGGAGGTCTTAATGAAAGTAGCACAGGCTGGGCCCCACCCCCCAGAGATTCCTGCTCTGTAGGTCTAGGTTAGAGCCCCAGAATTGGTGTTTCTAACAAGTTCCCAGGGGATGCTAATACCACTGGATTGGAAACCATATGTTGAAAACCTCTGTTCCAGCCCATTGCCTTCATCTTACACAGGAGACTGAGGCCCAGAGAGGGGAAACTGGAGAATGTGACTCACGCAGGACCACCAGAAAAATGATGGGAAAGCTGAGATGAATTCCCCAGAGCCACTAAGATTTGAACCAAAGCAGAAGAGGCTGTAAAAGTAAATGAAGAGTATCTGCCATTTGAGTTAATGCCCTCAGTATTCCATATTTTTTCTTTTAGATGAAGAGGCAGAAATACCACTGATTTCTATGATTTTTGGTGACCTAGTTTTAGCTGCTTGTATTTCTGTAAACTGCAGGAGTAAAATAATTTCTTCTCAAGTCTACCAGCTCCATCCTTATTGAGAGTAGAGCCTCATAGAGTTGGTGTCCCTGAGCACAGTGGCTTCTAATGCTGTTCATCTGGGTGCCATTCAGAGTGCTGATGCTGTTCCCTCAGCCTACTCCTGTGTGCATCCTTCAAAGCCCCGGGCACCATCACCTCATCCATGAGGTCTTCTCAGACCCATTCAACAGGTGCGCTTCCCTGGGGCAGCAGGCGGTGGCTGAAAGCAGCCCAGAGAACTGGTATTGGGCAGTGTTGACAGCCATCTTCTCCCAAGGATTTCAAAACCCTTTCAAGGTATTATCTGAGGACACATCTTACTGGCCACATTTTATAGATGTCGGAAGGCAACCCAGCAATCCATTTTCCATTTCTAGCTGTCAGCTCACCCCTGGCTCTTTGAGCCAGAGACCCAACTGACTCATGAAAGCAAGCTGCAAACCAGCAGAGACTATAATTATGGGCAGCCCTGGGGACCAGCCCCCAGTAATTGGGGGCAGGGGGTAGCTGGATGTGATAGGAGAAGATCTCAGAGCCTAAGGCTGAGCCCTGAGTGGATAAGAGAGGGGGAAAGTCAGGGAGAGCTGCCCTTGGAGCCACAAAAGCTGAGCCCCAAGAAGGAATCATGGACGAGAGACCACAGATATCCACTAGGGAGAGAACACCTTGGGCCCTATGGGGTGCCATTTTGGGAGTGATGAGCTACAAACCAAACTAGACACTCAAGCAGTGTCCAGCTCTGTTCCTCACTGTCCGGTTCCCTCCACATTGCCCATGCCTGTCTGTAACGTAGCAATGCCTCTGTCTCCCTCTCCTTCCCAGAGGCTCAGTGAGGAACGGCTGAGGGGACAGGAGAGGACTGATACTAGGGGGAAAAGAGAAACTGGTGGCCACTGGGGGGGGGGGGGGTGGTAGAACCGATTCCACCGGGCTTGGAGGGTAGTGTGATGTGACAGCAGACAGAGTTGAGCACCAACATAGACAGCCGTCCCTGCCACCTTTCAGAGATGGAACTGGCTTCCTTGTTTGGTAGTGAGTGCCCCATCACTGGAGGTGTGAAAGCAGAGGCCAGAGGGGAGGGAGGCTATAAAGAGGATTCGTTCACTGGCTGGCGGGGTAGACTAGACCAGTCTCTGCAGACTTTTCTATAAAGGGCCATATAGTAAATACTTCTGGTTTGGGGACCACATGGCCTCTGTGGCAACTGCCCAGCTCTGCCATTATATCGCAGAAGCAGAAGCAGCCTCGTGTGTCCATGGGTGTGCGTGACTGTTCCCCTCTAACCTTGTTTATAGACGCTGAAATTTGAATTTTGTGTAATTTTCATGTCATGAAATCTTCTTCTTTGGGTTTTGTTTTTTTTCCCCCCAACCATTTAGAGGTGTTAAGACCATTCTTAGCTTGGTGGGCCCTACTAAAACACACTGCATTTGGCACATAGGTTCTGAGTTTGCTGGTCTCTGAGTCAGAACAGCTGGCCAGAGGCAGAATGTTGGAGGGCAGTGTCTTCAAAGTGGGATCCCAGATCAGCCATGCCAGGGATGCTTGCCCTGGGCACCCTGAGCCAGAATCTCTACCACTTCCCACAGTGCCCTGGGAGCCCCCCATGGAGAGAGCCCCCCATGGAGAAGCTCTGTCCTCCGTCAATCTGTACGTGCTGGAGCCAGGTTAGAGCCCAAGTCTCTCCTGAGACCCGCGGGGAATGGTGTTGAGAAAGGGCTTTGAGTCCAAGAGCCACATACTACACGTCGTAAGGCGTAAGACGTCCCGGATGAGCTCTTTAGTCTGAGCCCCTGGTTCAGCCTGCACTGGCTTTGTTACCTGGGACAAGTTACTTAACCTCTCTCTGCTTCGGTTTCCTGTCTGTAACATAAGGATAACAATAGCATGTTATCAGTTGGGGTTGTTGTGAAGCATTGGGCTTGGTGCCTGCCAGACAGTGGGTTGCGCGACTGTTGGCCATGGTGATTTTTCACTGTGGACCATCATTGCTGGGGCCAACCCAGGGCCCTGACTCTCGTGCAGCCTGTGTTGGTCTTGGCATCGCTGGGAATGAGCAGGCGCTGGCTGGGTGGCGGCCACATTCACAGACAGGTCAGGTTTCGGGGTGTGGGGGAGAACCGATTCTCACTTGGGAATTAGAGCCTTTGACTGTCCCTGTGGATGGAGCTGATGAATAGGTTTTGTTCCCTCGCTGAGCTCAAAAGAAATAGGAGTCAAGTGCCGGGTTTCCGGTCTTCTGGTTTTAGGGGGTGAAAAAAGACAAAAACCCTCAGTGTCTTCTAATGAGCTTGAGGCCATCAGCCCTGAGAAGTAGGGGATTGAGCACCAGTTAACTCTTTACCTGCTCGGCCAGGAGGCGTCAGTCTAGGCTAGCGCGCTCCAGGCCCTGTGCTCAGGCACCGCCCTCATGGTGTGGGTCCGCCCATGCTGCCTGCAGTTTTATTTTCATGGTGGTTCTTTTTGTTGGCTCGTCTTTTTAAATTTGGCCACATCCTGTGTAATTATATCCATGAAACCATTACTTTGATGAGCTAGTTCATGTTTTTTTCCTATTTCACATTAAATTAAATTTGTAACTCTAAAAATGTCTTTACATTTGC